TGTTGTGCAACATTTATTTTTAGCCCTCTCCAAATTAGTTCACCTCCAGTAAAATGAACTCAATGCCCCCTAACCAAAGGAACCCTTCCTACTTCCTGTTTAGTAACCATAGGTCAAGTTGTGTTTCTTCTTCTTCTATATTTTAGTACGTTTTTTAATAGAATAATCAAATCATATACATTCATAGTTAAACCACTTATAAAAAGAATTTTATAGACATCATCACCATCAGTTCTAATATTCCCTGCCCCTCCCACATCAACTGATTATTCCCCTTTCCCCTTCGCCACTCATTCCCTTCCTCCCAATAAACCATAGAATCAGTTTGTCTCTATGCATCTACTTCTTCTGAGCTTCCTAAACTGGGAGACCTAACAGAAATTTTAAAAATCCAGAACAAACCAAGCGGAAAGAAGGAAACAATAACAATGAAAAATAGATTAAAATAAGTGAAGAAAAAATAAAATAATGTAAGAATTAGAAAACCACCAAAAATATTTTAAAAGCCAGAGAAGAAATTTCTTTATAGGAACAATATAGAAATATTTGGGGATAGAGCAAATTCCAGTTGATTCAAGAGAGATGTCAACTGGCCAGCTATCGTATTATACTATGATTTGATTCATCGTAATTAAGTTTACAATAATCTCTGACTGATTTTTGTGTAACAAACCATCCTTGATATTGCTAGGGGGGGAATAGTTAGCTAAAAGCCAAAAAACCACACCTCCATAAAATCCATTCATTAATGTATAGGAGCCATCCATGAGCAGTGCCAAGACTATGAGGTACCTTCCCTCATCTAGCCTGACAGTGTGGGACTGTGAGACAGAGCAATAGGTAGTTGGCTTCCTGGCCCACATGTACATGTCAAGAGACCATGTGGCTGAAACCCGAAGGACCATAAAGAGACCTGTTGGCTGAGAAGACATGCTGCTGAGGACCAAAAAGTGTGTCCTTACGGCCAACTTATTATTACCTTCTCTATGAAATGCCTTAATTGTGTATTCTGTTGAGTGCCGCATGGCCATTGCAAGAAATTATTGAAGCCAGCAAAGAAGGAGAATGCGGTAGGCAGAATTCTTGGGGTCAGAACAGGATAAAGAAAGAGTAGCAGTTAGAAAAAATGGCATTGGTGATAGACATTAGCCTGGAGATAGCATGATAAAACTTTACCAGAACAATGAATTCATTATAACAGACCCTTTTCAACATCACAAATGGCAACTACACATGTGAAGTTCTCTACCTAAAAACCACTGAAATAAAATTATTGGGGGAAATAAAAATGAAATAAAAATAATGGGGGGAGAAAAGAAGACAGCTGAATATCAGTAGCTAAAAGACCAGGGACGCACAGTGGAACAGAGCATCAATTGTTCATATGTAAGTCCAGGTTGATGTGGGCTGGGAGCAGAGAATATGAGAAAACATGTTGTCTGTGTGTTTTATTGAAAATGTCAAGGCATTCAACTCAGTGGGTCATAACAAACTATGGAGAGGCTCGAGAAGAACGAGCACACTTCACTGTGTTCAAGTGGAAAGTGCGTGGATCATCAGACAGATAAGTGAGCAAAACAAGGCATAAAATAGGATTTAAGATCAGGGATGTTTTGTGTCAAGATTGTATTCTCTAACCCCACTTATTCAATCTGTATGGTGACCAAAGAAACAAAAAAGCTGGACGAAATAACCATGAGCATGGCATGCGGATTAGGGGAAGACTTAATAATGCCTGAGATATGCAGAAGATGACAGGCTTGTTTGTTGAACGTGAGGAGGACTCGAAGCACTTGTTAATGAAGATGAACAATTGAAGCCTTAAATAAGAATTACAACTTAATGCAAAGAACAAACATCCTCACAAGAGACCATGGAAAGCAGAGAAAAGATTGAC